GTCTATGGATATTCTCGGCCACCCAGGCCATGATTGTTTCAAGAGGTGACTGGACTTTCCTCGTTTGGTTTAGTTTATTATCATTGCACCTCATACAACGCAATTTAATACCATCTTCAGTGCGCATTATGGCTATGAAAATAAACACAAACACACCTCCTTCACATTCTATGCAATTGAATTGAAAAACCCCTGATATTGCATTCATATTGCACTATACAGTAGAATTCAATAGACCTACTGTCCAGGGCTAGAAGCTGTTTTTCAGCCTATTTTGTCCTTGTTTTTATTGTCCTGTACCGTCTACCAGATGGTAATGGTTTTAAAAAAGGGGGTTCCCAAGATGAGATGGATCTTTGAGGATGTTTTGAACTTTCTTAAGGCAGCAGAAGCTCTAAAGCTCTTCCAAAGAGGGGAGAGGACAACCAAAGATCCTCTGGGCAATTATGTTCACCCTCTGGAGCGCTGTCCTATCTGCTCCTGTGCAATTGGCAAACCATATAGAGGTGCAATAAGTTAAAATACTCTCTAGGTGCAGCGGTAGAAGGTCACCAGCAGTTTTTCATTCAGGTGTTGTTTCCTGAGAAGCCTCAGGTAGTCTAATCTCTGCTGGGCCCTTTTGGCCAGGGCTGCGTTGTGGGCACTCCAGGTCAGGTCCTCTTTTAGGGTAACACCCAGAAACTTAAAACTGGCCACTCGATCCACTTGTGTTTCCTTGAAGACCTGTCGCTTCTCATCCAAAAAGCTGCTTCAGTTCTAACTGAAGATAAATCCTTCCCACCATCCAGTCAGAGCTGAAGAAGCTCCTTCAGGAAAAGAAGCGAAACGTCTTCAAGGAAAAAAAAAAACAAGGAAGCCCAGGCGCCTCTTGAAAAAGCGCCTTTGCAAACGATTCATCGATGCATCGACTGAAATGACCGAGGCTCCCAACGGAGGAATTCAGGCTGTGGGACATGAGGCTGAATTGGCCATGTGAAGGTTGCAGCTCCCGTCCAGGATGTGGGCTGAAAACGTTTGGAGTGGTATCAATCTGCCCCCTTTTGCGTGATTTTCTTGCAAAATCCTTGGTGGTCCCCCCATCGTTCCTCCCACTGAAGGAGACGTGTGAAAAAGGGCGTGGCCAAAGGGGCTTTTTCCAAAAGGCAAGTGGACTTTTCCTTTGTTTTTGCTTGAAGATGTTTCGCTTCTCATCCCAGAAGCTTCCTCAGTTCTGGGGGCGTGGGAAGGGTTGATGTTCCATTAGAACTGAAGAAGCTTCTGGGATGAGAAGCAAAATGCCCTCAAGGAAAAAAAAAAACCAGAGAAGTCCAGTCACCTTTTTGGGGGGTGGGGGGTGGGGAGGAAAGCACCTTTGGGATAATCACGACCCTATGGAGAATCTCCACAGGCATGAAAAAAATCTGTGTGTGTTTCTAGTCCTCAAGATTCCCAAAATCTCTCTGGGGAAAAAAGCCTTGCTTGCCACAGCTGCACAGGGCCACAGCGCTTGTAGAGTTAGTTACTCTGACCCAGAAAGCTTCTGTGACGGTGCTGCCTTTTTGCTCCTCGACAGGCAAGGAAGATACCGGTGTGAGAAGGGCACCACGGGCATCCTATCGGAAAAGGTTATCCGCCTGGAACTGGAAGTGGCGGAGGAGACGGTGCAGACCATGGACACGTCCTGATTCCCGGCGGAGAGTCCGGGACACGGTTAGGGGACCGAGAGTATTCCTTCAAAGTCGAAATAATCTTGTTACGATTAACCGAATGAATAAATGAATAATAAATAATGGAAACAGGGCGGGTTATTCTTGTAATTTGGAGGAGGGCAGGGTCAGCATCAAGGCAACCTGAGAGCTCTGAGGGGGAAGAGGGAATGGAGCCGTCAGACAGACAGACACACAGGCGGAGCCTGGGCCATCCGTCATCCCTCAGATGGGGAGTCAAGAGACCCCAGGTCTGGAGGTGGCTGATGAGGAAGAGGAGGAACAGTGCCCGACGCGCAAATGCCCAGAAGGCAGAGAGGAGAGGAGAGCAGTGGAAATCTATAGGCCGGTCCTCGGGACGGAAGAGCCACTGCTGCTAGCAGAGCCTCCACCCTACCTCTGGGGATAAAAGGCAGAGGGTGGAGAGAAGTAGGTGTGGCAGACAATTATTCATCTTCTGGCCAGATTTGTTAGCCTGTGAGAGACACTTTTGGGCAGGGCTGCTGGCGCCCCAATTAAAGAAATGTTTTGAGTTCCCGTCGGAGGGTTTGTCATATTTGGGAAGCTGAGTCAGAACAGACTCCAAAGCCCATCGTGTTCTCTACCTGTTGCGATGTAAACTTTATGGCTTTGAATACAGGGAGGGTCCTTGACTTATAACCTTCCTCTTCGTCTCCTTTCCAAGTTGGGTTATTGGGTATTGCACATTGCAATTAGCAAACCCCAGATCTGGTGTGAGGCCAGCGCCCACAGTCCTGTTCTCTGTGTAAATCAATCAACTTAAATCTTCTGTTTAGTGACTGTTGTGAGTTACGGCAGCCCTGGAAAAAATAGTGACCCACGATTGTTTTTCACACTTTTTACAAAACCGTTGTAAGCATCCCCCACAGCCAAAATTCGGATGCTTGGCCGTTGACGTGGACTTGACGGTTTGCAGGAGACAACGGGGGCAGCCATAATTCACCTTACGTCCGTGTCACTCACCTAACCACTGCAGCGATCCACTTAGCAACGGTGGCAAGGAAGGTTGTAAGAAGGGAGGGCGAAAAAAAAAGCTGCCTTAACCACCCTCTTCGCTTAGCCGTGTAAAATTTGGCCTCCGTTGTCGCAAGTCGAGGACTACCCGGATTCAACTATGCCCTCCCGCCTGAATGTTGAACGGCGTGCTACTTTTGAAGCCCCTCATCGACGCCAAAACTCAGTGCTGGAAACTTTTTTTTTTTAACAAAGGAAACTTTTATTTGGTAAATCGCTCTAAATCTTTCCTAAAAATGCAGTTCTTTGGGGGTTTTTCCTTTGTCAAAAGGACAACAACAAATGTGAAGAGGAGGCCTCAAAACGGGAGAGAGAGAGAGAAAAAGCGCACAATCAGGTGGCGCAAAGCAATTTCTTTTCCCCCCCCCCCCCCCCCCCCCCCGCCGACAGCCCAAAACTTTTTCAAAGTTGTTACACCCCTCCACCCCCCAAGACTAGGCAACCCACCCCCCAAAATCACCTGCAGAGCGGCGGAAAGTTTTTGGCAGAAGGGAAGAGAAAAAGCTTCAGCAAGTTGGGAGCCGATGGCAGGATCTTCACGAGAATTTTTTTCTCTCCTGGGCCTCTGGTCACCCCCCCATATCCCACCTACCCAGCCTCGCCGTTTGGCAGCCCTTCTTAAAAGTCCTCCGTTCCAAACCGGTGACTTAAATTTCCAAAAACCCTGCCTGTACTCTTCAATCTTCGTTCCAGGAAAAAAGAAACTTTTTTTTTTTTTTTGCTGTTTCTTCCTCCTCCTCCTCTAAAAAGCGCCCAGCAAGAGAGAAACTTGTGACTTCCTCTCCCGAACATCCTGGTTGCAAGAGATAGCGATCCCCGAATTAAGGAACCGGTAGTGGCCTCCGTCCAATAATAATAATTAAAAAAAAACTTAAGCTTTGCATCTCCGGAATGCTTAAGTCTGGATTATTATTATTATTATTATTTTCCTTCAGATCAACTTGTTTAAAAAGTATTCACATTGGTAAATGAGTTTTCACAGTAAAAATGCAGGTGATCGGGAATTGAAAGCCGTTTTCCTCTGGACTTACCTGGTTTTCGAGGCCTGTTTGGTGTGTGTGGGGGGGGTGCCCTGAATTTTAGGGGCTCAACCCTGGGCTAGAGATGGGCTTTTACACAAGGGTACCCAGCGCCTGGAGTCGGACTCGCTCATCGGGCTACGGAAGTCGCCGTGGCGATCTCGAACCGGGAAAAAAAAAATGTGACAAAACACGACGTTCCTTTGGTTTTGAAAAGCTCACCTGGTCTGAGCAGCCAGAGTTGACAACCCACACTGCAAAATAAATCATTCTGAGGTTGGTTGAAAAGGAGAGGGGAAAAAAGAAGAAGGGAAAATTCAGCTCCCTCCTCCTTCTCCGTTACCCACTTTGCAACGGAAGGAAATACAAAGGGAAATTAAAAAAGCAGGTTGGATGTTCTTTCTTTGTTTAAAAAAAAAAAAATACACAAACTTAAAATCTGAACTGGCTAATATAACCACTGCTAGAAGAAGCGAAGTAGCAGTTATACATGTTACACACACGACCCCTTCCCTCCCCACCCCTCTGGGGAAAAAAAAATTAAATCTATTGCAATTCTTAACGTTAAGATTGAGGCGGTTTTCCCCCAAAGGAATTCATCTTCCCAATATTTCACATTAGTTAAAAAGATACGAGGGGTATGTCCAAAAAAAAAGAAAAAGAAAAAAATACACCAACCAGAAAACCCTTGCTTACAAAGCCTAACTTTAGATTACACGCAAACGAAGTTTGAAGAAAAGATCTTTTTTTAAAAAAAAACAAAAAAACAAAACCAAAAATAAAAAATAAAAAGCCACAAGATCTACATCGGTAACATGTTATAATCCGGTTTCGGAAGAGAGGCAAGTCATGCTGGGCGCCGCCATTTTATCGCCCAGCCGTGTGGGGGCTGGGATGAGATCCACCTGCCGGGCACCTGTACACAAATCATGGAAGGGTCTTCTTTCCTTTTAAAGAAGGCTCAACTCCACTCAAAAGCCACTTCCGAGTTCGGTGAGGCACCGCTTTGGTTTCGTCTGAAGACAAAAGTAAGACTAAGCCGGGTAAACGGTTCTCCTTGCCGGACTTCAAAGGAACCACGCTTCAAGTGCTGGACGTCCAGAGGTGCATCTGTTTCACTAACTGGTGCACGTAACCGATATCGGGCCTCTGGTCTGGATCCGGGTAGATACACATGCTGACCAGCTCCCGCAGCTGTTGAGGAAGGAAAGAGGGAAGTGGGGGGGGGATGAACACACACACACAACTTGCACAACTGGACATCCAGTTGTATGTGGGGGAAAAGCCACAACAACGCTATAATCAACGGTATAGTTTCTGGGCTCTGTAATATCTCGAGGCTTAACGTGGACATCGAACCTCCCAAAAAAAGCACAATGAAGAATGTTCTTCCTGCGTCGATCCTACCTACCTCTCTCTAATCATATATCTCTCTCATCTATCATATTTACCTTCCTCTCTAATCATATATCTCTACCTACCTACCTATCTATATCTACAGCATCCATCCCTCCATCCACCCATATCTATCTATCTATCTATCTATCTATCTATCTCTCTCTCTCTCTCTCTCTCTCTCTCTCTCTCTCTTTCTATCTATCTATGTCTCTCTCTCTCTCTCTATCATCTATATCTATCTATGTCTCTCTCTCTCTCTATCTATCTATCTATCTATCTCTCTCTATCTATCTATCTATCTATCTATCTATCTATCTATCTATCTATGTCTCTCTCTCTTTCTATCTATCTATGTCTCTCTCTTTCTATCTATGTCTCTCTATCATCTATCATCTATCATCTATCTATCTATCTATCTATCTATCTATCTATCTATCTATCTATCTATCTATCTATCTACCTACCTACCTACCTACCTACCTACCTATCTAATCACCTATCTTATCTATCTATCTATCTATCTATCTATCTATCTATCTATCTATC